ACTAAAAAAGCCGTTGTCTGAAACTTGTCCAAGCTTTATGTAATTACCTTACATAATTGCTATGGTGTTGTTATGGTGGCACTGAATGTCAGACATACTGTCAGCATTATCAAGCAATTCAAATTCATCATTCATTATAATCTTTAGAAATAAATGAACAGCTGTCATCTCAGAGGTTTGACATCTTTAAACAAAGACATGGTACATAAAAAATTACAATCAACAGTTATGAACAACAACCCAGAAACAGATTGTTAGTTCAGCCTGTGCTAGACAAGAAACATATTGTAAGTGAAAAAAGTCACATGCTCTCACGGTATACAGCCGACAGAGTGAAATTCACAGAAGTACACTTTCTTAAGAATTGCACCTCCAGACACACACACTTGGGCCCTTGTGTTTGGAGGGACGGGCATTCTAAGCTGATACACATCAGTGCATTTCAGGTCCCCTGTGTATGTGTGTGTGTCTCAAGGCATGACTGTGACGGGAGTCACTGAGTCTCTCAGCCATATTCCCTCTGTAGTCTCTGAGTCCCCTGTCCCAGAAGTCCTACTGTCTATTCCGTCCAGACAGCCACCAGGACATAAAACCAGTTTATATCTAGGAACTGGTTTGGAAAGGTTAGAGGTTTGCCAAATGATTGTTGAGCCTTTGCCTTTGCGAAAATGGCTCAGGGCAGTGCAATTTCTTGCATGCCTTGCTCCAAATTCAAGTAAGGGCCTGTCTCTTTCTTTCAGTTATGTCTGGTTTGAATACTTTCTGCATATAAAATACTTTCTACTGAAGTTTTTATCTTCACCCTCTGTCTATCTCTGCCTGTCAATCTCTTTTTGTCCTTTTCTTTCTCCCACTAGCTGTTGTGCCAGGTGCAGTTGTGTTAGCTTCACCCTGTATCTCATTTATGCTAACATTAATGTGGCTTGATGTGCTAAATGTTATTTCAGTGTGAACTGTCTGTCCATAATGATGGGGACCTGTCAGCACCTCTTTTTACCGACTGGTTTTGCCCCAACACTTATGGCAAATAGCGGAAACTGTCGAGCAGAGGTTTCTGTTTTGTTAGTGCATAGTGTAATGAATGGTGACCATGTGTTGAAATTCCAGAAACCCAGAACCAGTCATACTGAAAGAAAAAGAGTTGTCACGTACTTGTTTATAAATACATTTATCCACCTACAAAAGTCCAGGACTAATATTTAATTTTTTTTTGAAAGAAGTCTCTTAGGCTCACCAAAAGTGAATTTACTTGATTAAAAAATACAGTAAAATCAGTAATATTATTAAATATTATTACAAGCATCCAGTCCAGTTGTGTGTGTGTGTGTGTGTGTGTGTGTGTGTGTGAGTGTTTTGGCCTTTTTACACAATAAATTAATGTTTTCAGCAAGGATGCATTGAATTGATCAAAGTTAAATTGTAAGTACATAACTAATTATTATGTAATTAGTATGATCTAGTTAATATTAATAATTATTATGACTATTAACTGTCCACCTCTATTTTTATACACAGATGGCAGATGTGATTGTGTAGCTCTCATTATTCCATTGATGCTTGACATTTAAGCGCACCTGTGAATGTGCGTGTGTGTGTGTGTGCGTGTGCGTGTGTGTGTGTGTGTGTGCTTGTTCACAAGCTCAATGTCACCGTAATGAAGTCTAATTTAATTATGACATAGGAGACCCAGCGCAGCCCACTTTGCCCTCATGGTACAGTGGGAAGCAGCAGTAATAGCTGGCCTGCACTCTGATAAGCAGCAAAGCAGTAATTGGGATGTCATGAGCCACAGGTGTGATGTCCTCCCACATGTTTCTCTGAGCAATGTAGGATGAGCTACCTGACTCTAATTAAAATGAGCTGCTTCAGGAAGAGCTCGCTAGTTTGCTTGCGAATCAGTACATTTACTACTTACACATACAGTATCTAATGTGCCATCATGTGTGAATGTGTTTGTTCAACATTTAGGATCCTGATCCTAACCAGGGTCGCCTCTGGCTTGCTTAGTTGGGGACACTTCATTTCCAGCGATATCGTTGACTTGATTGCAAATGATTGCAAAGATATTATTTAAACTGAACTGAGCTGGATGATGACATCACTGAATTGAATGATGAACTGTCTTTAACTGAAAAATGAGTGTTTACTATTGTCATTTTGCATTATTGACACACTATTTTCTTAATTAATGCTGTTCAGTTGCTTTGACACAATCTGTATTGTTAAAAGTGCTATAGAAATAAAGGTGACTTGACTTGACTTATTAAATTAACTAAAAGTAAATCCATTAAAAAGATTTCAGTATATGAAATAAAATAAAATGTAACTTTTTTTCAGCTAGTTAAGACAATATTTTTCATTTTCTACTAGTTTAGTTTAGTTCATATGGTTTAACTTAATGTAAAAAAAACTGAAACTAAAAACAAAATGGGTTATATGAAACTAAAACGTAAAAAAACTAATAAAAACTATATAGTAGACATATTTAAAGAAGAATAATATAAAATATGTATACTAAATACTATAATAAAAACTATAATAGTATATACATGCTACTAAAATAACACCCTCCTAATCATAAACTTTAAGCTGTAAAAACAAATGGCAGGTTTTTACAATATTTAACAGTAATATGCTACAAAATAAAATGCTGTATTTAGAAGTTTACAGCAAAATCAATTCAGGCTTGGTATTTAAAATATCCAAACATCCTGCAGCACATGCTGCTACATCACAGTAATTTCTGAAATAAATTAATAAATACAGACATACATACATACATACATACATTGAAAAACTGAATAGTATTAAAGGGGTCATATGATGAACTGTTCTGGAACAGTGTTGTAAATATAACTTAACCTCTGATTTGTAGTCGTGTCCTCTTTTGGAAGACAAAGTAGTTTCGCTTTCACAACGAAGCACACGGCGTCTTCAGGACATGGCGGAAACCGGCAACAATACTACAGTGAGAATAAAAGTTACGCCTTCTTTCTTTGCGTGAACATTTGGGCGGCGTTATGCAAATCTTCCCACATAGTGAGGTAGACATGTGGGGGCGTGTTAGAACGAGCCGTTTTAGGTAGGTGTGGCTGACTCTTAACTTTTATAAAGAATATCTCTTTGGATTTGAGACTTTAGTCTTTGCAACTTTACAGATCTTCTTTATGCACCAAGAGCTTGTAACACTCCAAAGAGAAAGGGAAAATTGAAATCGCATCATATGACCCCTTTCATTATTTTCTGACAGACATTTTCTGTTAATTTCCTAAAAACTGCTCAACCCGTTTCTGCCAATGTGGTGACAGAATGACAGCAAAAAGAGCAATAGGTGTGACCATCAATATAATGAGCATTTAAACGTAACCCATTAAAGCTTAACAGCTGGAATTCTTCTTGGCTGAGTAGTTACCTCAGAACAGGCCGCCATGCACAACCTCTGATGCAGGAACAGCTCTAATTTCGTAGTCATTATATAGTCAGACACAAATCAAAGATCCAAAAATGGAACTGACAGATGATACTTTTAAAATTGTGGGACAAAAATATTGTTTATGTAGAATATAGAAAATGTAGCCTAAGTGAAGCAGGAAGCTCTGTAAAATGAGTCTGCCCTTGATGTGCATGTCTATTGTGATTCTTCTGCACATTAAACAGTCTGTTTATTAAGACTGATCAGTGTGACTTCCATCTGCCCACACAGCACTGGAGCCCCTCACGCATGCTTCATTCATCCTGAAGGGGTCAAGCAGTCAGAAATAATTTTAAGGTCGATGCAATTACTGTGACCAGGAAATCAACCATATTGTCATTTTTCTAGACACTACACAAAGAATTATGTTCAGCTGTTTGTTTTATCATCACAGAGGATGAAGAGATGTTTTTCCAGTGTTGCTGTGAATATACTGCCATCTACTGAGGCAGACAGTTTGTGGTTTAATGACTAATTCAAGTTTGTTGCAGAACTTTGTGGAGTTATTCACAGACATTACAGAGCAATGAACTAACATATAACCCATAACAGTTCCAGTGGTTCCGGTGACTGAACGGCATTCCAAGATTGCTGATGGCAGTGCTGTTTTAGTATTATTTATAAACGATTTATTAATATTTGGAATGTTTATTTTTTTATTTTATTTTCACAAATTTTGTTATGTGCTTTTGTAATCTTTATTATTTTTATATTTATATGTTATAGCTTTATTTTTATGTTTGTGCTTACTCATTATTTATTTATTTCATCTCTAATTTTTTTTTAAACATTTGTAATTTTTTGGAATTCTACGTTTTTTTAAGTTGAACTTTCTCACCTAACATTTATAATTGATTTCTAATACCGAAAACCATTTTTTAATAGTTTTAGTTTAGTTAACAATAACAACACTAGACAAGGGGGGAATTTAACATCAACCAATGCTGTTCTTCCTTGTTCCTCTTATTCAGATGTGTTACGCAAAATTACATTGCACATCACTAATGATTATTTGACGAGGCTACAATGTAAACAACCACAAAGTAACGTAAAGTAAGTTATAGGTCAGGTAATTACTGACTTTTTGAGTCACCTTACAATCAATGAAAGGGCAAAGTCTAAAATAGTTGTTCCTAGACAGTCACTAGATGTCAGTCGTGTCTAAAAAACAAGGATTCAAGGACGAATTGAGTTTAAGTAAACGCCATGAAATAGATGCGAGGAAATGTTTCTGTAAAGAATGTTATTTGTTGGAAACGTTCAAAGTTGAGGAAAATGAGGTAGACTTTTTTTTATTATTATGATTCCTGCCATTTGAGCATTTCTCATGAATTATCTGTTTAAAAAATATTATGACTTTAGCAAACTGGATGGAGTTTCTACTCATATGTATGTATATTATATATGATAATATAGGCCTACTATATGAGAACGTGTTATTGGTGGTGACCGTTTGCTCTCACCTATAACGAATAGGAAGTACACTCAAGCGAAGAAGGGAGTGGCTTCAGCAGCCGTCTCTCTGTCTACCTGAGTCTCAGAGCTGGACTTTGACTGGGGGACTATAAGGAAATAGGAAAAAACCAAGAGCACAACTTCGCAAGGTTAGTGAGTAATTTAACGTAATTGAATACAGCGGTGGGCGAAACATCGCACAAGCTGATTTTTACACGAATAGCCACACCAAATTGTTAATCAAATAGTTAGTTACTCATTAAAATGACAAAACGTGCGATGTATCCAAGAAGGATCCAAAAGTGTCGTAAAATGTCGATATAATATTACTTATAAGACATAACTTTATATGAAATCTCTTTTAACGTGCGTTTATATATGTAGGCAATATGTGAGTGTTTTGGGAGGGCAAGTCTCCGCTGGTACAGTTATGTGCACGCGCATTCCAGTGTCTCCATAGCTGCGCACGAAACCTGCTATCTAGGATTTAATAGTGCGGTCTGCCTTACCTTAGTGCTTATTTCGCCTTAAGAGGGGTTTAAGGTTGTCAGTTTCTGAACTAAGTATTTCATCCTTTGATAAGTGACAACTGCAAGACAATACAGTTCCTCTGTATTTGGCTTTATTTTGGGTGAGGATGATTATGTTTCAGGAAACCACATGCAATTATATAATTAAAAGCTAAGCATTATATAGGTGCATGGGGAAAATCAACTAGAACACCAAATAACTTGAACAACAGAACACAAGTGTGTCTATCCATATGTATTTGTTTATTTGCCTCCTGCTCTCAGTCAGGGCATATATGTTTCAAACAACAAAATATAGAACTATATATAGCCTAATTTAATTACTTCTAAATGTCTAATAAAAAAAATGTTAGACACATAAAACTACTAAAAATATGTATCATCTTCGTTGTTTTAGAATTTAACATTGAAATACGTTTTTTCCAGGTAAATAAAAATCTGTTTTCATATGTAGGGCTCCTCCCTTGTTCTAGTCCTGTTTTCTCTGTGTGCTCTGTAGCTTGGAGCTGGTGTTAACTTGCAAAAACTAAGAGGTCAAATCCCACGTACTTGTTATCTATAGATTAACTATTTCAGAACAACTAAGTCAAGCCATTCTGGTTGCTACACTGATTGTTTTTTTTTTTAACTAACCGAACTTTAAAAGCAATGGCCACTTTAGTCAAGTGTGACACTGAAACTTTAGCCCTGTGTAAACAAATGATTAGTCACTTAAAATAAAGCTGACACATTTATTCTTGGCATTCATGACAATTTTTAAAATAGTAACAATAAGGGATTATAATTAATCTCACTGTATTTAACACAAAGGTTTTAGTCATATGCATGCATTGCACAAGATGAATGTTCAGTTGCCTGTTTACGAATACAGGTTGCATGGAGTCATGCTTGAGTAAGTTAAAAAGGACGTGTAGCCTTACCTCTAGGAATTTGTTGCCTCAGGCAAACAACTCAGTAAGACAGGCCCTACATACATTTATAAACCTCCTATAAACTAGCATCTTGCTGTACCGTTAGATTTTATGTCAAACACCCTCTGATAATTTTAGTACAGTATGTGTTACCACACTGCGCATCAGTCCATATTGTATCAGATCTGCATTCCAGTACAATCACATGGGTGTGAGGACAGAGAGACATAATTATTTGAGCACAGAAACACAACCAGTGTGAGCAAACACAGTGTAAACTTTGGTCTAATGGATGTCTTGAAGTAAGTGAATGGTATGTGTGCTTTTGAATCTGGTAAGGTTTTTTTATTATTATTAATTTTTTTTAGTTAGTCTTATATTAATGCACAGTATGTGGGTACCATATATTAGTTATCAGATGATTTTAGAGTTTTTAAATTTATTATAACCGTTGATATTGTATATATAATTGTGCATTCTGATTTCCCTTTTTTATGTGTATATCATTCTGTAAATTACAATGTTGTGATGCATACATTAATTTTTTCACTTCTAAAATGACTGCTTTTTTATTTTTAATTTATTTAGACAAAATAGTAAAAGTGTAAAAAAGTATTATATACCATTGCCATTAATGCCATTAATGGAAAATGCCTTGGCACATGCCACACATGGTTCAACTAACTATAAAAAATCCTTGTTCTTGTGTTTCCAAACTGGCCTTATTACCAGATGAGATGATTGTGTAATGGTGTGTGGATATCTTTGAGGACATGGCGAGTGATGCAAGCACCCTTTCCTGGAAGGTACCCACCCAGGACTGGGATGGGGGCATCAAAAGCCCAGACCTCGGTCCTGCTGGAGATGGCGGTCCTGTGAAGATCATCAAAGTGTGCTTCAGCAGCAGCAACAACCTTAGCAAAAACTTCAAACTGGTCAAATGTGACAGCTCATGGCAGATCAAGGTATACATACCCTACTGCTCAAAAGTGTCTTATGTTCTCCTAGGCTGGATTTATTTAATAAAAAATGCAGTAAAAAACCCCCAAAACAAACGGCCATAATGTGAAATATTATTACAATTGAAAATAACAGTTTTCTATTTTAAGATATTTTAAAATGCAATTTATTCCTGTGATGGTAAAGCTGAATTTTCAGCATCATTACTCCAGTTTTCAGTGTCACATGATCCTTCAGAAATCATTCTTTAAATATTTTAATGAACAAACTCTCTTATCTTGCTTAAATTGATTAGGATAAAATTATTTTAATTCCAGATGTTGATTGTGCTTGGGACTATTTTTATAATAGTTTTATATTTATTATTATTAATAAGCATGCACCTTTGAGTTAAATGCCATGATAATCCATTGTTCTCGACTGCTTTATGTGATCTTATTCAAGAGTGGGATGCAGCATGGGCTAAGGCTAGACAAACAAATTTAAATTCTGATTGGCTGCATTTTAGGTAGCTTTGCAACAAGTGTACAGTTGCAGTTAGAAAGGCTAAATCAGATTACTTTCTTGATAAAACCACAGAAAATCTTACAAAGTTATGGAGGAATAATATGTTTCTAACTGGTAACAAAACAATTACAGAGATTCCCCCTTGTATAATGACAGATTCTACCAAAATTGTAGACAAAAAGCAAATGCTTAATAGTTTTAATAGTCATTTTATTGCATCTGGCTTTTTATTTCAAACAAATAATGATATACATTTAGATTTAGAATTCCTTGAATCTGAACATAATTTATGGACAAGAGCTTTAAAATAATTCGATGTGAATAAATCGCCAGGTCCCGATCAAATTGCCCCGTTGTTTTTAAAACTAGCGGCTGATTTTATTTCTCCTCCGTTGATGTATCTATTCAATCTTTCATTATTAATTAATACAATCCCTATGATTTGGAAATCAGCATTTGTTGTTCCCCTGTCAAAAGGGGGTGATCCTTTTTTAATGGATAACTATACACCTATATCAAAGCTTGCTATTTTCTCAAAACTTTTGGAAAACCTTTTTTTCTTACACGTCTTTTTTATTATATATATATATATATATATATATATATATATATATATATATATATATATATATAAACTGCCTTGATTTTAATATTATGCAAGTTTCCATTTTCATGCAGATGATACTATCATTTATTGCTCAGGCCCCTCTAAGCAACAATCTGTGGCTTCTTTACTGCTTGACTGCTCCGGGTGTGTGTTCACTGCTGTGTGTGTGCACTTTGGATGGGTTAAATGCAGAGCACTAATTCCAAGTATGGGTCAGCATACTTGGCCACATGTCACTTCACTTTCACTTTCTTTACAGTCTGCTTTTGATATTATCCAAAATATGTTCTGTGTTTTGAAGCTGGTTTTAAATGTTGAAAAAACAAAATATATGTGATTTTCAAATTCTAAAACTTCTTCCGAAAACTCTATTGTTCTTCTGACTTCTCAGGTGAGCCAAATTACTTTAGTGTCAGAGTACAAATTTGGTATTATTATCGATAACACACTACGTTTTGGTTCGCACATTAAGTATTTGAGGAAAAAAATTAAAGAAAAAGTTAGGATTTACTTTAGAAATAAGTTGTGTTTTTCATTCAATGTGAGGAAGAAATTAGTATCTGCTACTTTTCTACTGTTTCTCGATTATGGGGATGTAGTCTATCAGCATGCCCTCTCTTACCTTCATGCTTCCTTGGATGCTTTGTACCATGGTGCTCTGAGATTTATAACTGATTGTAAATTTTCAACTCACCATTGTGAACTATACAAAAGAGTCTTCCTTGAGTATTTGGAGAAAAATGCATTGGTATCTCTTGATATATAAAGCCATATTGGGTTATTTGCCATTTTATCTCTGTTGTTTCTTTCAAAGGACTTCGTCTGGTAATTACTCATTACTTTCTCAATCAAATTATAATCTTTGTGTGCCCCTGTCAGAACTGAGCTTGGTAAAACTTCTTTAAAATATGCCACCACTTCAGATTGCAATCTTCTCCAAAAGGAGATGAAGTTACAAAACTTGGTGTCTTATAGTTTTTACTACGTAATTGTAGAGAGCGAGTTAATAGTGTGTAATTGTTTTTAATTGGTTATATGTTGGTATGTTTGTTTTTGTATTGTATGTCATAACTATGTTGTTTATTTGTATATGCAAACTTGGCTGCCTATCTTGGCCAGGACACTCCTGTAAAAGAGATTTTAATCTCAGTGAGTCTTTTTTTCCTGGTTAAATTAAAGGTAATTAATTAATTCATATGCATTTGGTGCTCAAGACACATTTTTTATTATTATCAAGGTTAAGCACAGATATGATGCTTAATATTTTTTGTGGAGTTCAAAAGAACAGCATTTGTGAAATAGGAATCTTTTACAATATTATAAATGTTTTTATTATCATTTTAAATGTGCCCTTACTGAATAAAAGTTCTCCAAAAGGAGATGAAGTTACAAAACTTGGTGTCTTATAGTTTTTACTACGTAATTGTAGAGAGCGAGTTAATAGTGTGTAATTGTTTTTAATTGGTTATATGTTGGTATGTTTGTTTTTGTATTGTATGTCATAACTATGTTGTTTATTTGTATATGCAAACTTGGCTGCCTATCTTGGCCAGGACACTCCTGTAAAAGAGATTTTAATCTCAGTGAGTCTTTTTTTCCTGGTTAAATTAAAGGTAATTAATTAATTCATATGCATTTGGTGCTCAAGACACATTTTTTATTATTATCAAGGTTAAGCACAGATATGATGCTTAATATTTTTTGTGGAGTTCAAAAGAACAGCATTTATGTGAAATAGGAATCTTTTACAATATTATAAATGTTTTTATTATCATTTTAAATGTGCCCTTACTGAATAAAAGTAAAAAAAAAGTCTTACTGAACCCAAACTTTTGAATGGTAATCTACAGTATATGACTGGAAAAATGGAATCATGGTATTTCTAGTAATATTATCCCAAATGTTGTAATACCTTGTCTGAACACTTGATATTTTTCCTATCCATCAGACTATCATCCAGTCTATTCTGATCAGTGGCCGTTTGGGCCCAAATGTGCAAAACCCAGGATGCTTTGGGCTGAGGCTCAAACACCTCAAATCTGAGGAGCTCCACTGGCTTCATCCAGACCTGACTGTAGGAGAGGTTGAGCAACACTATGAGAGCCTTCACGCCGAGGCAGAGTGGAGGTGAGGGAGTGAGGGAGGGAGTATATATCACCAATATACTGGCCATTATTTGAATTTTTCATATACGTGTGTGTGTGTGTGTTTTATTTCAGATATGATCTTAGGATTCGCTACATTCCTGCTGCTTTCATGAAAAAGTTAAAAGAGGACAGGACGTTCCTTTTGTATTTCTATCAACAGGTCAGCAAACATCTCCAGATTTGCTTCTTGACTGTGGTTGTACGTAGTCACATTTTGTAGGTCAGTTCATGTAAATACTGTTCCTCTTCTGCAGGTGCGTTGTGACTACATGCAGCATTATGCTAGCAAAGTTAGCGACGGCATGGCTCTTCAGCTGGGCTGTTTGGAGATCAGGTAACAAACGGCATAGTCTGTTTGCTTTTATTGATATTGTATGATTATCCAGTGTAACTGCAGGACTTCATGACCAGCAACTGAGTATATATTTCCAGTGCTATAAATAAACAGATATCCCAGAACTAAAATGAGCACTGTTCAATGATTCATTAATTCAATTTACATTAGTCTAGGAAACAAATATTATTGAACTGTGAGGTAATTTCAGAGCATTGCATCACATATGTGGTTTGTTCTGTCTTTCAGGAGGTTTTATAAAGACATGAATGCCAAAGGTCTAGAGAAAAAGTCAAATTTTGACTTGCTAGAGTAAGTTCATGTTTTTCATTTGTACAAAAGTCTTTTTTAAAAGGTGATTTTTCTTTTTTGCTAATATTGTGGCTTTTTAAATTTAGAAAAGATGTTGGTCTGGACCTGTTCTTTCCTAAGGGCCTTATTGACAGTATGAAGGTTAGATTTGTTTTTCACTTATCTGCGGTGCCAATATTTTATTGAAATTTTATTGATTTCCAGAAGTAAACCAATTGCAAACCTTTTACCAATAAGACATATAGGGCCAAATTTACTAACAGCTTGCACCAGCGCAAATAGTGTTTTGGCGTTAAAATAGTACTGTCAGGATTTACTAAAGACGCGCAATGAAGAATTACCACTGAAAAGGTGTGGACAGTTATTTTTGCGCCTGACCTCATTGAATATGCATTTGTAGGAGTTTTCCTTTCAGACGCAAAGTTTATGGGAGGAGAGTATTAAAATGAAATACACAACACAATTTACTAACATTTGCACTCGTCAAATTACTGGTATTTGCGCCATTATTTAATGCTCCAAAAAATGTCTTAAAGCAGACGCTAATTTTGCGCTGCTCTTGGTAGATTGTGTTGGACATGATGGAAATGATCTGGCTGCATCTGTGTACTTTAATTTGCGCATTGTCAGTAAATCACCTGCAGAAATGTCCACTCCCATTAGCGCTTTTTTGCGCTGTCATGCTAATTTGCCCTGTTTAGTAAATCTGGCCTTAAATTAAGCATACATTCAGATTTGTTCATATGTATTTTTAAATGAATGTAGAAAATGTAGAGAAGTTAGGGATAATATGCAGCTAGCCAGTCACCACCACAAAATAACCCCCCTCTGGGTGATCAGGACCCTGACAAAATAAACTGAAAAAATAAAGAAGTGGCAGTTTATGAGAGCTTAGCACTTTAAAATTATACATCTAAACTGTAAAATGTTGGTTTTAACAGCCTAAGCAACTCAGGAAGCTCATCCAGCAGACGTTTCAGCAGTATGCATTACTAAAGGAGGACGAGTGTATGATCAAGTTCTTTGAGACCTATGGAGAATTCTCCAACTTTGATGAGGAAATATTCCCTTGTGAGCTAGTGGTAAGTTCCTCAGATTAGGCGTTAAAAATTTTTGGGGTTTATTCAAAGTGGAAGATTTAATGTACTAAAGTTAATTTACGAAAGTCCTACTTAATCTACACAGCAAGGTTGGAGTTTAGCAGTGGATTTAGTCATTGGTCCCAAAGGCATTCGGCAACGTACCAAAGCAGACTCCACCGTGAGCAACTTCATACTTTATTTACAATCTTGTATTTATTCCTTAATCTCATGCCAGTTGTCAATGTCCAAATGTTGTTTCGAGTTCATTTTCGTTTTCTCTCCCCAGGCTGTCTGCCTTGCTGAATTTAGACAGATCCATAGTATCAAGTACAACACACAACGTGATGGCAAAACGTTGTTACTTATCGAAATTGTGGGTGCCAAACAGGTGAGAATGTTCTCACTTCAGTATTAGGTAGTTAAACTTTATTTGCACAATGCCACTCTTGTAGTAAACTAGCAATGAACTTTTCCGTTCCTAGCCTTTTTCCATCAGTGTGGCATCTCTGGCCATTGCGGAGAACATGGCTGATCTGATCGATGGCTACTGTAGGTTGCTTAACCACACAGACTCATCTTTGATAGTTGGTCCAAATAAAAGTAAATCTCCCAAAGGTAAACTCCAATTAATGTACTGTATGTCTGTGAATGTCAATAGTCTTCTGACAAAGTGTCAATGAAAAGAGTTAAAGCTTGTGCGAACTGCTTCCAGAGGATGGATCATTATTTATTTTCTAAATTATTGTCATCTGCAAAAATCTGAGATAAATGAATAAAAGTTTTCTGAAATGCTGAGAGTTTATGGCAGCGTTCTTCTGAATGTTGTGGGTTTTGAATTTATCTTCGCTGTCTTAGGTGTGCAGTTGCGCAACTCTCTTCCTGAAATTCCCTCCGGGTGAGTACATCAACATTCCTCTATCTCTGTTTTCTTCTCCTCAGGACTACAACACAGAATGAATATTAATTGCTGTAATTCTAAAGTGATCTCTTATGGAATAATTTACAAAGTGAAATGGCGCTGGACGTACATTTTTAGATACTTTATTTCACTGTCCTTAACGCTATTCACTCTTTCCTGCTGTTAGGAAGACAGAAAGCTTCAGATACAGCAGTGAGTATCAGACCCTCCTTTAGATACAATCCCATTCAGACATGACTTGATATTTACTGAATTATGATAACAAGTTCACGACAATGTGATAACATCAAATCTATCTTTCAGACTCTGATATATACTGTGAAATCCCAGATGAAAAGCCGCCACCATCTGGTATGTATGGGAATTTTTTTTTGTTTTTGTGTTCAGGGTCAGTATCACTGTAAAATCATGCACTTATTCATTATTGTTTGTACTGATGTGCTTTCATAGTTTTTCATGTGTTTCGCAATAGCAAAGTTTGGACTGTCCAGGAAAGACATTATCCTGAAACGTATGCTGGGTGAAGGCTTCTTTGGGGAGGTTCATGAAGGAGTTTACCAGAAAAGGGCAAGCAGTACTAGACACTTTAGACATGTGATGATGCAATGACAACTAAAATGTTTTGTAGGTCAAATCTGGGTTTTTCCTTTTATCAATATTTTTTATTTGTATTGGTTAGAATGGGGAGAAGGTCAGTGTTGCGGTGAAGACCTGTAAGGAATGTGCACCTGATGTCAGAGAGAAGTTTGTGGGTGAAGCAGGTACGTGAATGAAAACTCTAGTTAATTATTATAGCCATTGACATAGACAGGTGTTTCTTCAACTATTGGAACTGTAGACAGTAAATTCTCACAACATATTTAATTTGTGTATATACAACGAGTGTGTATACTCATCTATCACCAGAGAATTCTGTCACTGTTTTCTGAACTGTTTTCTAACTTTCTAGCATATCTCAAATGATGTATTGTGTTTAATAACATTCTGTGGTAGAAATAAAATGTTAAATATTTTTGGAATAAAATATCAGACTCCTTTGTCTTGCTGAGGCTAACATTATAATTATAATTGTATGTATTTTACATAAACACATTTAATAAATATGTTTGCTTAATTTGACAAAACTACAGCTTGATTAGAAATTATGCACAATAAATATTTTTTCCTGCATTTTTCTGCTACAGCAGTGGTTCTTTCTAGATATGCCAAGCTCAGCTAAACTATTTTATTGTGCAGAAATTGTGAATAAAAATGTTTTTTTTTTCATCCTTATCAAATAAAGCATGAAAACTAGAAAAGTCAAGGGGTCATTGAATATTATTGGGCGCCTTGGAGTCAAAAAGGTTGAGAACCACTGCTGTCGTCTCTGTTGTCTCTGTGGTAAAGAATTAACTTTTAAGATGGAAGTCATAAAAAATGATGCGATAATAATAAATAGTTTTCGCTTGATACATTTTGAAGTTTTGTATAATACAGTAGTTAATTTTTTATAATGGGTTTTTATATTTTAAGAAAATCTGGGCCCCAGATGTTGAAACAATCTATATGGCAGACATTTGAAATGTAGCAAAAATAAACAATAAAATATATAATATCGAGTAACTGTATTCTTTTTGGATTATAATGTCCCACCTGTCTAGTTATCATGAAGAACCTGGACCATCCACACATAGTGCAACTGATAGGAGTGATTGAGGAAGAGCCAGTATGGATTGTCATGGAGCTGTGTCAGCACGGGGAGGTAAACAACAGCCCAGATGCTGGATGTTATCACTCTTATTTGTATTATATCTCAAAACACGTCTTTTGGAAAATTGCAAGACCAATAATGTTGTCACTATGAGTGATTATTTTGGGGAGGATGGTAATATATTTAATGAGATAGAGGGGTTTATGTAACTTTTAAATTAAATCAATAAAATTCCCTTTCAATCCATAGTGTAATTCCATTTGCCATGACCGCTGTGATTGATCTAGCAAGCTCAATTAAGTGAATGCCATAGATATGGCTCTATTAACATTTACAGGCTCTGTAAAACCATCATAAACTGTTTACAACACCACTGAGTCTTGTTAAGTACAGAATGACTGGCTTGAACAGTCAACTAGTGGTGATCTCAAATATGTGCATGAGTTAATAAACCAACTGAGTGCTTAGGAAACCACCACAGGGTCTGAATAATGCATCTCAGGGCAGCAGAAAGCCTGTATTTCTATATGATGCGCAGTGATCCGCTTTAATAAAGTGGATTTTTGTTTTTATTAATTAACATATATTTTTGCTACTGTACACTAATCCTTCTCTAAAAATGTTTGTTTTGTGTTTACAGCTGGGGAAGTACTTGACAAAAAATCAGCAGAGTTTGACCAATGTAACTCTGGTTCTCTTCAGCCTACAGATCTGCAAAGCGCTTGTTTACCTACAGGGAATGAACATGGTCCACCGGTGTGACATGCAATTCAATATTTTTAATTCTCTATGATCTATCTGGTATAAACTATAATGTAAAAGTTTTGGGTTGGTACAAATTTTTTTTTTTATGTTCACCAAGGTTGCATTTATTTGATTGTGAAATATTATTACAATAGAATAAAACTGTTTCCTATTGTAATAAATTTTAAAATGTATCAGCATCATTACTCCAGTGTTCAGTGTCACAGGATCCTTCAAAAATCATTCTAATATGCTGATTTGCTGTTCATGAAACATTTCTTATTATTATCAATGTTGAAAGCAGTTGTGCTGCGTAATATTTTTGTGCAAATATTGATAGATTTTTGCAGGATTCTTTAAATAGAAAGTTCAAAAGAATAGCATTAATTAGAAATTTTGTAATATTAAAACTTTCTTTATTGTCACTTTTTACCAATTTAATATATATTTGCTGAATAAAAGTATTAATTTGTTTAAAAATAAAATCTTACTGACCCCAAACCATGCCTGGAAATAAACAGAAATATTTTCGATTACGATATAAAATGAACTACCCTTTCAATCAAATTGTTATGCTGATAATATAATTTAATATGGACAAAGCTCAACTACAAAACAATCTTTTTCCCTTGTGGTCTCACACTCCACTGTATTTACACTGATAATGAATTGAAATTTTCATGGTTGTCATATGTTGTGTGTGTTGGTGTGATCTGCTTGACAGAGATATAGCTGTTCGAAATGTGCTTGTTGCCACACCCGAGTCAGTGAAGCTGGGTGACTTTGGCCTTTCCAGATACATAGAGGATGAAGAATATTACAAAGGTTACCTCAGCTGTTTTACACATTCATAAAAGTTATGATTTGTTTAATCATTTTACGATAAATTGTTTCATCCTCTGGTGCAGCTATAATCATCTAAACTCCTCTGTCACGTTATAAAATCTTCTAAAATATTCTTTGTTGTGTTGTTTATATTCTGTTTAACAAGCATAGCAATTTCTCATTACCTTGCATTATGTCTGCAGCATCTGTTACTCGTTTACCAATCAAATGGATGGCTCCTGAATCTATTAACTTCAGACGCTTCACCGTGGCCAGTGATGTGTGGATGTTTGGTGAGTGAATAGAAGAAAATCATCAGATTTTAACATGTCCATTGTACCAAACAATGACACTGTTACAGTAATTTAAACAGACTCTCGCTTGTTTGACATTAATATTGCTAAAATTGAGTATATAATGTTATACTTTAAATATATTAAGTCTAAAAAGGTGTTTAGAAACCAGTATTTCTAAAATTCTCAGAGTGCACATAATTCCTTTTTATGAACCCATTTTACAGTTTTGGCATGCTTAACCATCCTGTGCTTACAAACATTATTCAGCGCTCCAGGGCCACTATTAAATTGAATTTATATAAATTGTCATACAATAACTGACTTTCATTTCCGACCTAAAATTTGCCAATTCATTTAATAATATAATATTGATATAAAACAACTATAAAAGTTTCTATATTGAAATGTATAGTTGTTTTCAGTTAACTCATATTATTCTTAATACTGTGCTTGAGACATGAACAGGTTTTATATCTGTAGCCCCTCACCGAAACACTGAGTAAACAACACATGACTAGACAGACAAAGACCCCTCAGTTTCTGGAGCTCAGCTGCCATGTTCTGTGAATCTTGAGCTTTCACTCAGTTTCTCTGATTGAAGGCTTCACATATGAGTGTTGGACATCAAACACTTTAGACCACGGGTGCCCAACCCTGTTCCTGGAGATCTACCTTCCTGCAGAGTTCAGTTCCAACCCTGATCAAATACACCTGTCTGTAATTATCAAGTTCTCCTTCAGATCCTAATTATTTGGTTCAGTTGTGTTTGATCAGGGTTGGAGCTGAACTCTGCAGGAAGGTAGATCTCCAGGAACAGGGTTGGCCACCCCTGCTTTAAACAAAAAATAAAATGGAAGTCAGTGGAAAATGAAACTGTTTGATCACCATCATTCTTCACACCATGCTGCTTTTGTGTTCTGCAGAAGAAAGAAATGCAAACAGGTTTGAAATGACCTGAGGGTGAATAAATGACAATTTTCATTTTTGGGTGAACGATCCTTTTAATATTTCTCTTGATAGGATCATATGACATTCCTAAACACCAGAAGTGTAAAATGCACAAAAGTCTGTCAATCCCCCCATGTGATTTCGCCCTCACTTCCATTTTTTTCCCTCTTGTGTTGCTCCCGTCCAGGTGTGTGCATGTGGGAGATTATGAGTCGAGGTAAACAGCCGTCCAACTCTGATCAAATACACCTGTCTGTAATTATCAAGTTCTCCTTCAGATCCTAATTATTTGGTTCAGTTGTGTTTGATCAGGGTTGGAGCTGAACTCTGCAGGAAGGTAGATCTCCAGGAACAGGGTTGGCCACCCCTGCTTTAAACAAAAAATAAAATGGAAGTCAGTGGAAAATGAAACTGTTTGATCACCATCATTCTTCACACCATGCTGCTTTTGTGTTCTGCAGAAGAAAGAAATGCAAACAGGTTTGAAATGACCTGAGGGTGAATAAATGACCATTTTCATTTTTGGGTGAACGATCCTTTTAATATTTCTCTTGATAGGATCATATGACATTCCTAAACACCAGAAGTGTAAAATGCACAAAAGTCTGTCAATCCCCCCCATGTGATTTCCCCCTCACTTCCATTTTTTTCCCTCTTGTGTTGCTCCCGTCCAGGTGTGTGCATGTGGGAGATTATGAGTCGAGGTAAACAGCCGTTCCACTGGCTGGACAACCGTGATGTGATTAACCAGCTGGAACAGGGCAACAGGCTGCCCAAACCTGATCAGTGCCCTCCTGCCCTGTACTCTCTCATGACCCGCTGCTGGAGCTACGACCCCCCCGAGAGACCCACCTTCACCGAACTAGCCTGCAACATCAGGTTTCTCCCTTCATGCTCTATAATAATAATAGAAAAAAATATTTTTGTTTATTAAAAAAAAAGCCTAATATTACCTGCTGTATTTTGATGATTCTGAGTTAAATCACTCAGCAGTGTAATCAATGTTATTAATATGCAACCTTTTTTTAATGTGAGAGGACTGCATTGACTGAAATGTTTATTTCTTTGGTCAAAAAGATTAATCTTTTCCCATTGTTTTTACTACCTTGCTCTTTTTAACAGTGATGTCCACCAAATGGAGAAGGAGTTGGAGGTGGAGAGAGAGAGAGACAAAGCCCGTAACACCCGGATCCTGGAGGCCAAGTTTAGTGAACCTCCACCAAAGGTAGCTGTCAGCTTTCATATGCTGTTTGTTTGCTCTTCCACTCAGTTCCAGCAGCACATTCTGGCTAACAGTCAGTGTATTTTGTTTACAACTTAAGCCTTCCAGAGTCAATACTAGTCGCTTCGGAAATACCCTTGGTGTTGGCCTGCATCTTCAGGTAGGGTGTTCATTTTGTTTAAACGTGAAATACTAAGCACTAAATTGTTCTTGTAAACTTAGAATCCTTGAATACTGATATTTAATTGTATATACATTTAAAAATGTTTTATAAATAATATGCATAATAATAAATGAAAGTCATTACGTTATATTAATTTAATATATTCTGCTCTTATTTTCACCAGCTTAATGAGGCTTTATGTGCCAGTTCACCAGACCTGGCCAGCCCGTGTGATTACCAGTCACCAGTGGACTCAACTAACATCCTCACCATAACCACTTCCCCACCCCGTCGCCGCAGTCTTGGGGTAAAATTAGGCCTATTACCAAATTGTATTTTTTTTTGTATGAGTTTTCATTATTTAATTATTATTAGAATTTTTTTAATTAAAGAAATGGCTTTCACAGGAGTTTTTTATTATTATTTTAATAATAATTAATATTTCATTAGAAGCTTTGTAGAACCTCAGAAGGTTTGTGTGTGTGTTTATGGGGTAGGAGGGTGAGTTCAGCTTTGGGCCAACAAGTAAGGAAGATGCTCAGCGGCTGTGGCAGGTAGAGAAGGAGCGCATGCAAGATACTTTGAAGATGCAGAAAGAGCAGATGGAGGAGGACACAAAATGGTTAAAGAAGGAGGAGAAGCTTCTGGTAAGGAGGAAAGCCTATTTACCAATCTCTTATGTAAGATAATATAGGTTTGCCTTTAATATTAGTTATCATGCACATTGCATTGCTTGCTGTTCTTTCTCAGGACCCAATGGTTCATCAAGACTCAAAGGTGTGTATTTTTATTTCATACATTTCATCAATAACATTTTCATTCCATTTCATATGTCTGATGTATTTTTCTTTTTTAAAAGTGTACTTAAAAATGTAATGGTCAAATACAATCCCAATAATATTTTTTATTTGTTATTTTTTTATTATCAGACACCTGAACTGCCACTTAGTTATGGTAAGTCCTCTGCATTTTACAAGTGATAATGTTAACAAATTTTAACGAATTAACATATCAGTATTTGCTGAGAAAATTAATCAAATTCTTGTGCCATATTAACATGTTTCCTCCTATACTGACTGTATCCTGTATCCACTTAAAGCTGAACTCCGTCAGCCTCCTTCAAAACCACCCAGAATTGCAGTGCAGGTAAGGACTCATTTTACACATTTGTACAGTATGCAGGTTGTACATGTTAAATATTTGACTCTATTTTCCCAGTACAATGATAGGAAGCATAATTCAGTTTCATGTGTCTTCAGCCTACACCTACAGCTGAGCTGGACCGTTCAGAGGATAGTGTGTACCAGAGAGTCATGGACGTGGTGAAGGTGGTGGTGCAGTTAAAAAACGACATCAACACACTTCTGTCTACTGATTACATCTCTCCTGTCAAGGTGACAAAAATCTTCATTTAAATCTGATGCTGTTTTTGGTCAATATTTCCATTAACAGTTTCACATACTGTCATTTGAACATTTTTGTCTGCAGACTGTCGGACTCTCATTAAGAAATCTGATCAACAGTGTCGATGATATACTACCAACTCTGCATGTTTCCTGTAGAACAGAGGTAGTATTTGCCCTGTATCAAAGTGTTTCTGCAACCTGATTTCATACAAAGTCTGTAAGTTTTGTAAAACTTGACATACTTGGTACAAATCAATGCAGTTTCTAAGTAAAATGTCCACTAAGTGGCTCTAAAAGTCAGTTGAATCTTTTCCATTACAGCTGAGATTTTAATAAGAGTACAAATGTTTCCCTCAGATTGAAGGCACTCAGAAGTTGTTGAATAAGGACTTGGCTGAGCTCATCAATAAGATGCGGCTGGCCCAACAGAATGCCATCACCTCTCTAAAGGAAGAGTGCAAGAAACAGATGCTGGCAGCAGCCCACGGTTTGGCCATGGATGCCAAGAACCTATTAGATGCTGTAGACCAGGCCCGAGTGCGCTCAAACTTGGCCAAACCCAAACCTGAGGACGTAGACTCACTGACAGACTAGAAGAGCTGCTTGGGACATGCTGACTTGAGTATACACAACTGTCCTATACACAGCTTGAGTATAGGACAGACTGATTTATCTGTATAATATGGTAATGCAGTAACGGGGCAAAACCAACACCAGTATGGGACATGAAACCAATAGAAATTCAGGCAACTGTTGTGCTGCTGTCATATCATGTTAAGTGATTTATGTAAACATGATTTAGAAAACCAAGCAGGCCAGAGGGGTATTCCAGTAAGCAGGGTTAACTTACAGTCACATATACCCAGAACGTTTGGTTGATTAACCCAAAGCTTTCTTACTCGCAGTAAGAAAAATGTTCCAAAAATGCATTGCTATCTTTTAATATTCAAGCAGTTTTTGTTTATTACTGTGAAAAACAATTATATTGTTTGTTTGATGCTAAATATAAAAATTTGTAAATGCAAGATTGACTGTGTAAGCACAAAAAAATGTGCTTGCCATTTTCTTTTAGCAGTTTTCCTTCCATATTTGGTGTAAAAAATATATATTTTGAATGCATATTCACAAAGTGTGAAATGAGAATAAAATAAATGTCGCTTTATGTTGTAATAGTGCTTTATAATAAAACATTTGTCACTGGAGCCTCATCAATAGTGAATGCATGTGCTGAATACCTCTGAAATAATAAACTTACCTATATAATAAGCTCCAGAGCAGGTTATGGTCAGAAAATAAGTTGTTATAGCTACTTAAATAACCTGAAAGTTACCTCATTTTTGGAACTGAAAGTTGAGGTTATCCATGTACTTATGCATGAACTTACCCAGCTATGACGCATAACCTACTTTTTGGAATACCCCCCAAGAATTTTTGTTTACTTAGATTTTATTTTGAGAAAAAATCTTGTATAAATGTTAACGACAACTAGCTTGCTGAATCCTCTATATGACCCAGCATTCCTCTGGACATCTCGTCTTATTAAATATGTGTTTATATTGTAGACTAGAGGTGGAAAGTAACTAATACTTTCGTTACAGTACTTAAGTACATTTTTAAATTTTTTCTACTTTCTTGAGTATAAAACCGCGATCAAACCGCGCTATGCTTTGACTGTCAATCACCTGCGTTGTCGTTTTGAATCAGCATCATTAGTGTTTCAGTATTTTAGTGAATGTGTGCTCTGATTTTAAATCGTAACTTTGTCAGCTCCCCAAATGGGTCATACCGTCGATATTACGCAGCAGTGCAAGTAAATACAAACTCGGTTGACAGAAGGACGCACTTATTGCATATTGCATGGATGGAGCAAGAACAATGTAAGTGTCTAAAATACATGCACATAGTTCAGTTGAATGGTAAAAATCGCCCTCTTTAACAGTACTAAATGTACGAAGCTAAAATAACCTCAACATTAACAACTACACTGAAATAAAAGCGCATGCATTGTTACGTACATCTGGCTAACAGATCAAGCATGATTTATATGTTAATCAGATGCATTTAAAATAAATTTTTCTGTGTGCGTGCTTTGGATGTGTGTGCACACGGGGGAAGAAACAAGATAGTCTATGGCTATCCACAAGAAGCCATGAGCTTTCCCTATCCGATCTTTTTTTCCCCCTCGTCTCAAGAAATATCTGCGTACACGAAACCACAAAACCGACATAAAACGATGTAGTATACATGCCAGACCAGTATGTGGCGCTGTAATTCTGCCACAGAGATACACTAACAACGGAGAAAACGATTTGGACTATGCGCATAAACGTTCCGCGCGGTATACAAACGAACATGGAACAAAACATGTATTAATCCGTGTTAATGTTAGTTAATAGAAAGACAATCGTTCATGTTTTTGTTGCTGTTACGTGACGTAGCGGTGTCTGACTAGGCGCGAGACGTGGGCTGATGACGTCCTCGTTTCAGAAGCCACACGAAAACGCACGGGCGGCGTTTTCAGATTTATCCACTCTGGGACCCGGTTTCAAAAAATACCGGTTTCACTCTCCCAAAACGCCGGATCCGTGTGGACGAAAAGCCTATACAAAATGTATGCTTATACAGCACAAACTTGTCTCCAGAGCGTGTATGACTGGAAGATTTATTCATACCCAAAACAATACGATGTGAACATTACGGAGCGCTGAACACTCATTTTTCATTCTCAGTGCATGTTTCATTCATACTCGCAGCCGGAGGGCGCTCTCGCGCAGAAAGTCCAAAACGGCCTAGTAGAAGTAATATATAATAACTTATGACATGCAGGAAATCTCTAATATGGACAAAGGCATCCCACTACTGCTGTAGCTAAAAAAGGTAATTTCGAGGAAATAAATATAGTATATGAATAATCCAGTGCTAATTGACATAACATTTAATACAGTATCCTATTCTGCCTTATGTGTTTGTATAAACCAATTCTAAAATTGTCATTAGGAAAATACAGAAAGAATATTATAGAATACAAATTATTGGTTATCATTCAGCAGTGTATTTGATTTCTTATCCAATTAAAATACATAATAAAAAATAAAGCCTGTCAATTAGACAGAAGTCAAAAGTTTTTTTCGTTTTTTTTTACATTTCTGTCCCCCTCGTTTCTGAAATGATGGCTACGCCCCTATGTGCCTACCGAAAATGTGCCTGGAGTCCACCTTTGTTATTATAACAAACTACACTTTCAATGTGATTTTTAACCATTCAAGTCAAGAAGACTCACGGGCTGTTTTCTCTGCTACACACACAAGTGTTCTTTAGCCTGTTGACTTTCATTATAGTATTCAGCTAACCAGGAACTATTTTGCAATAAGAGTTAGAATGCATGTGAATGATATATAAGATTTATTTATTTATTTATTATTATTATAATTTTTTATTTTTTTTTTCCTTATTGGAATCAAAATTAGGAATTGTCAAGAATCGGAATCATTAAAATTCAAACGATGCCCAACCTTACCCACACCCCAAATTATTTTTTACTGGCACATTTCAATTCACACTGAAACCCTTTCTTTTCTTTTAAACCCTCACTTACCCTTCTTTGCTTTTGCCTTTCTTAAAAACAACTAATCGTATACGTGAATGTACTTTTCAAAATTAGTTATTAAACAGTTGCTCCTGGCAAGAGGGATAGGTAGTATGTTTGCTTAACATAGCATCAAACATGACAATTTATGAGACTAATGTCATGTTTTGCTCCAAAATTACTATAGAACATCAGTCATGTTTGAAACAGTTAGCTTCTGTGGTTCCTTGTTGCTTCTTATCACAGTGAGACAGAAAATATTTTTTATAAAATTCTATACTGTGATACAAACTATGTCAATTAGCATTGCATTGCAATTGGGTGTTTATTGTCTTCCACGTTTCATCAGTCAAAGCATCTCTATCTGCATGTTATTCAGCTGTAGTGATATCTGATGCATTTGTCCATATAAGGGATTTCCTGGGTCTCACTTGTGAAACAGACATGACAGTACATGGGTGTTAGGGTTAGGGTTAAACCTGCTCCCTAATGCCCACGTCGTCTCATTTTGGGTAAAAATAGAAAAAATAACACTAAAGTACTTTGTAATGCAGTAACTTGAGTAGTTTTTCAGCAAACTACTTTTTTACACTTGAGTCATATTATTTTTCAGTACTTTTACATGTACTCAGGCACGTGCACACATAGACATCAAAGGGGGCTTGAGCATTAGCCCTTTTTCTTCCCTGAGAACCTTTATAGATTATGTTGATCTATGATGGTCAAAGTAACCTAATGTAGGCTAATCTATTAACTATGCATAAAACCCTGTCTGTTTACTTAATTAACAGATAAGGGTGTCATGCCATAACATATTTTTAATACGACTGAGTTTATATTTAATGTGAATTTAACATTGAAAGTTAATGTGGATAAAAACATTGCAAGTTAGGCTACTAATCATAACACTTTCATTGTACAGAAAGAGAGCAAAGGATATTTACATTATCAAAGAACATTTTCACTGACAGTCTAGTTCAAGCACTCTCAAAAACTCCCATTAGAATCAGTGAAGCTGTTTACACTGTGAAATTAATATCTTACAGATTCGTACAACCATTTGCACTTTGTTGTTTCTGACGAGAGAATTCGCCAGAAAGAGGAATTCAGTGAGCGTGCAAGTGAAGAAAACACTGGCACTGTGATTGGTGTTGCATTCATAAGATTGGGAAGTCGTGGCCTAATGGTTAGAGAGTCGGACTCGTAACCCAAAGGTTGCGGGTTCGAGCAGGGATTGTCGGTGGGGGGAGTGAATGTACAGCGCTCTCTCCCACCTTCAATACCACGGCTGAGGTGCCCAAGGCACCGAACCCCCAACTATTCCCCGGGCGCTGCAGCAAAAAATGCTGCCCACTGCTCTGGGGGTGTGTGTGTTCTCTGCTTCTGTGTGTGCACTTAGGATGGGATAAATGCAGAGCACTAATTCTGAGTATGGGTCACCATACTTGGCCACATGTCACGTCACTTTTAAGCTCAACAGCATCGTGTGTGATTGGTTAATGCGCAGTGCTGTAAACACGCGTCTGTCTCTGGCTCAGCGCCAGCCAGCGAATGCAGATTTGAATTTAGCAGCTGATGATATGATGCACTGAACTTTCTAATCACGCCAGTGTGATTGTATTAAAGGGGTCATATGATGCGATTTCAATTTTTCCTTTCTCTTTGCAGTGTTACAAGCTCCTGGTGCATAAAGAAGATCTGTAAAGTTGCAAAGACTAAAGTCTCAAATCCAAAGAGATATTCTTTATAAAAGTTCAGAGTCAGCCACACCTACCTAAAGCGGCTCGTTCTAACACACCCCCACATATCTACCTCACTATGTGGGAACATTTGCATAACGCCGCCCAAATGTTCACGCAAAGAAAGAAGGCGTAACTTTTATTCTCACTGTAGTATTGTTGACGCTGCAGCCATGTCGTGAAGGCGCTGTGTGCTTCATTGTGAAAGCGAAACTACTTTGTTTGGTCTTCCAAAAGAGGACGATATCCGCTTCGTCATGCCTGGAGCTGATCTGTGCTGGTCCCTGAGGGAATACATCAACTTTCACCGTGGACGAAGCGGAGTCCAGCCCGGGGTCGTCACATGTGGTTGCCGCTCATTCGTCGCATCCGCCAGGCGCGCCGTTCTCGACCCCGCCGCCTCAGCTTACTCTATCCCGGCCTCAGCGCATGCTAAGCCGGGGCTTCATGTGGGAAGATTTGCATAACGCCGCCCAAATGTTCACGCAAAGAAAGAAGGCGTAACTTTTATTCTCACTGTAGTATTGTTGACGCTGCAGCCATGTCGTGAAGGCGCTGTGTGCTTCATTGTGAAAGCGAAACTACTTTGTTTGGTCTTCCAAAAGAGGACGATATCCGCTTCGTCATGCCTGGAGCTGATCTGTGCTGGTCCCTGAGGGAATACATCAACTTTCACCGTGGACAAAGCTGT